CTATGATTAAAGACTATCTGAACACAAACTTTGTTTTACAGACATTCATCATTACAATGCACTAATGTTTCTAAGAAGTGTCTCGGTATTTAGCATTGTTTTCTAGTTAATAGCCAATAATGAACTTAGTTGTAGACACTGTTAGTTCTTATACTCATATTGCACCCAAAACCAGTCACCTTGGCAATCAGGATGCAGTTCAGATAGCTGATTTCTGTTAAATGACTAGTAAGTGGATTTTGTGATTGTAGCAGATATATAACTCTTCCTGGCTTAAGAGTTGTGACTGTAACCTGTACTGGAAGACTATACAGCATCCTTTCCATTAACTCCAGCACTTAATCACTGACTTCACACATTCCATAAAAATAAATTCCTTCTGATCTGAATCTTTTTTCAACTTAAATGAATCTAGTTTAATATGTTGAGTCCCGGGCTTTTCTTTCCCTTTAAATCAATAATTTCAAGATACGAAGGAACCAAATGGCATATGATTTTATTATCCCCATATGTATTACTGCAAGAATTTTCTTCGTAATGTAAACAGTGTTGTAAAGTTTCTGAAATCCTAGTGGCCATCATTATAGCCCTGGTCACACCCAACTCAATGCTATCAGGAGCAGCATAAACTACTTGTGGTGTCAGACAGGAGGCTTAGGTCTCTCTAAAATGTGTTTTTTCAGTGGAGGTTTAGCTGAGGAGTTTTCTAATAAGGAACCGTTGTAGTGATTAAATGATCTGACAAGAAAGCATTTACGAAACACCGAAACCACCTTGCAACAGAATAGTTGTCACTTCCCTCTCTGCTCTCTTTGTACGCTCAGCTTTCACAGCTGAACTCAGTTTCATTTTAAGGCCACATTTTTCTCAATAATCTTAAGCTACTTCTTTCTCACTTGCTTTTTTTCCACTCCAATACATTAACTTTTTTCCCTTTTCCCTTCACCTGCAGAAAATAAAGTAATGTAAGAGCTGTAGGATACAAAACAAGGAAAAAAAAACCCTTCACCATTGTTAATATGCACTAATTCTGCATCTTCTAAAGTATTTATTATGGATAAGACTTTTGCTGAATATGGAAAAATTTGCATGCCTGTGTATTTTCCATGCCATCTGTTAGCTTCCAGGTTCTTTTACTCCTTTTACCTAAGTCCTGCATGCAAATTTATCTTTTAGTCCTGAGAGTTCCATAACTGCAGTCTTAACTGCCTTTAAAATGTCTCTTAACTTTTGCTGTGCTTCTTCCTAGGCAATGTTCTGCTGGTTTTGATAAAGAAAAAAAAATCTTCAGTATAATGCAGTTCCCCTGTTCCTGCCTGCAAATTAGGCTCTCTTGTGATTTTCCTCGTATTACCTCTTAAATCACAAGTTGTCTATAAATATCCACAAAGCTCCACTGTTTTAATCTTGACCTCTGTACTTTACTGTAATACTTACAGAAAATTTCTGGTGTCAGTGGGCAACAAAAGGTGTAAGACTGATACCTGTGTTCTTTTTTCTCCTTCTTGGATATTGTTATGTATGAACTAAATATCTTCAGACTCTCCTTCAATCCTGTTCATGCAGCATGAATTCGCTTTATGCAGCATGATCCTACTACAGCAGATGTGATAAATTCCTGATGGTATACCCATGGAATGTTCAGAGCAAGTTTCAGGCTGTGTAAGACTTTAATCTTAAGAGATTAATGTTAGAAGATTATTATTTTTTGCAAACATGAGAAACTCAAACCATCTGGTCACCTTCTAGTACTCAGTGTTCTAAGCAGTGTTGCATTGATTCTACATCATGTTCCTTGTACCTCAGTGTAACCTGAGGTCATTGACTCAGGTGACTGAAGTGGCCCTCTCTTAGCTGAGCCTTTCTCCTTGCTGTGTCATGAGAAATAGCTGGGCACTGAAACAACTGAGTCGGACTTCATAAACAAGGACAAAAGAGTTAGGAAGTAAGAACAATAAGAGGAACTCACATGAGACAACTTCATTCTTCTCAGAAGAGTACGAGTGTCTCAAGAGTTACTAATATGACTGCTCTCACTGCCAAATCACTGCTTTGAACTAGCCTGAACAATCAAGTCTTTGCTTTCTATCAATCTTCCAATATAATCCACAAGATGGATATGTAAGGTAGTTAGCAAAATGCATGAAGTATCAATATCATAAAATGCAGCATTTTGGACCAAATCTATGGTAGGTTGGCTGGGATTTAGTACTTTAGGAGATGAGAGTATTTGCTGTCTATTGGCTGAATGGGCCTATTGGAATCCCTCTAGGTTTGTGACAGAGCAAGCTAAGATAGATGAAGTGGTAAATCTTGCTACATTGACAGGTTTGATGTATACCTGCTAGAGGAAGAAGCAGTCAAGCATGTCATCTGCTTATACTTCTACACTGACTCTTATGGACCCAGTTACACCCTGGCTGTGTTGCCACAAAAGTGGGTTTTTATCTGTGCATACCAACACTTGCAAGCATTAACTCTGCACTGTAGAAAAGTGAAACCAGTTAAGGTTGCTGGTTCAGCATTTTCAACCGCTCCTCAGCGTTCAAAATAAACACAGTTCTTAATGATGACTGACCACTGGAGGCAGAAAATATTGAGGCAGAAAATTTATGCTACTTACTGTCGAAGCACAGAAGTAGAATATAGCTAACGTGCTGGGGTTTTGACTTATTGACTGTAAGAAACATTGTCACAGATTAACCATCCAAACCGCAACCACCACTGCAGCAGGCAGTATTGCACAGACTAGCTGGTGACTGATGCCTTTATAGTCTGTCCCGGGTTAGGCATGGCTGAGCATAAGACAATTTAGCATGCAGTCAGTGCTCTCAGAGGGCTTGTTGGATGGTGAATGGCCCAGAAAAAGATTGCTTTGTTCATGAGAGAGATGACACACACATACAGATGGTTCGGGGTTTAACCCAGTTCCTAATAACAATATAGATTATAGCTGTGTTTAGGGCACAGACTGAAAGACAGGAAAATTCTGGTCAGGTAGCTTGTACTAAGTTTGTCTGAATGTTCCTCCAACGTTGTAAGTTGTGAAATGCTTGGCTCCTTGTGGCCTAGGACTCCAGGTTCAGTGCTCATGTGCTTGTTATCCCCTCATCTGTTCTGTGTTGTTGTTGAACAGCGAGTGACTCCTGTCTTGAGAACGTACTGTGAAATAACAGCTTCGCTTTTTTTCATGTGGTAGATAACTAAAGCTGCTGCTTTTACGGTGAGAGAATGCTACATTGCTACACTGAATATATTAATAGCAATTCAAGAGCCATTAGTGGGGTGAAAAAAGAGTAGTAGGTGGATGGGGTAAAGTCTAGAAGATTTTTGCTGCTTACTCTGCTGCAAGCAAGGTCTTGCTAAAGTTTTATTTAGTTTAATTTCAGTAAAGGGTTCCTACTGTTGCAAAGCCCTTTTTGGTGGACCTTTCTCCTATTGATAAGAAAAAATGACTTTTTCAAAAAAAGTAGGATTAACAAATACACATGCAAAGTTTAGAGAAACATTCTTCTATTAACAGGTAAGGATTTTACTTCCCCGTGTTTATTTCCATGTACAAGCTAAATTAATACAAGCCAAATATTCTTGATTGTTACGTAATCAGGTTTTGAAAATGAAGTTCTAGTTAGTATTTCCAATTTCTTCACAAAAATGAGCAGCACAGCTATTAAGCAGCTGTCCAGAACAACATGCAGGAAATTACAACCATTCTCTTGATCTTATTACGAATTATTGACTTACAAATAAACAAAAGTAAGCATAAAAACTGTTAGGAAGAACTGAAATAAAAACCTTCAAAAGCAAATACTTGATGCCATGAAACTATTCCAAAGTGAATTTGTACACATTCAAAAGACTAAAATAAGGTGAAATTTACTGTTTCCTTACGGCAAAGTGCACTCTATTCTATAAGACAAGAAAAAATACTGCTTTTATTTGCCAAGTGAAGTTCTTATGATACTAGGCACTTTGTACTGCTACCACACAGATCCCTACCTTCCTCCCACCAGGGCCTGACCCAATTCCTCCATAATTTAATAGACATCTTGAAAGCTTAACTGAATCAAACATTTTGAGGATACTCAGAGTATGCATATTTAATATATCAATAGTTTAATTCCCACTGAAGTATGCCGTGTATCTGACATCACATATAGCATGAAGTCTGTAAATGTTTGCCATACAACACAGAATTCTCACACCTCCTGTTGTTTTCTGAAGAGGCATGTCACACACCACATTTTGCTTAGGTTAGTTGTGTTAATAGGTTTGTAAAAAAACCGATCAACACAAGATGATGGCATTTTTTTCTTGTCTTATAGAATAGAGTGCACTTTGCCGTAAGGAAACAGTAAATTTCACCTTATTTTAGTCTTTTGAATGTGTACAAATTCACTTTGGAATAGTTTCATGGCATCAAGCAAATAAGCTTGACTGTGTAAACAACCTTTACTACTTTACAACATACATAAAGCACTGGAGAAAAAGAGCTTAATATTTTCTATCTACCCAAAAGTTTTGTGTTGGGAATGTAGTTTAAAACCATTCGTAGCCATATCAAGAATTCATGTGTGTTCTCCTAGAGTATATAAGGATTCTTGGGCATTTAATGTTTTTTTTGTAAAGGAAAAATTAGTTTTAAACTCTCAAAGCTTCTGTTTTCCACACATAGTATTGTTTTGTTTTCTGCACACACGCTTTCTAGAAGTCACAAATAATTTTAATAGAAAGTAAAAATGCCATATTCCTTACACTTTGAGCTCCCAGCCACCTTGCTGAGGTTCTTGGCACCAGTGAAACCGTGCTAGTTTCATCATGTGAATACTAATTAGGAACTGAACTAGGTTGTCAGTGTCAATTATTTTATAACACGTAAATCAAACCCTAATAACTTTTATCTTTCTCTAGCTTCACCTTGACTGCTTAGTGAACAAAACAGTATGAGAAGGGTTGACTGAAGCAATGACATAAAACCACATTAGTCACTATGTTCCTTGTTACAGATTTTCTGTGCTTACTACTGTATCATCTTGTCTGGCTGCAGCCAAACTTCTTCTCTTGTCTTCCTCTGTTACAGTCTGACTCATCTGTTCAAACAGCTTTGATATCTTGGCAAATCTCAGGTGATTCTGAAATCTTCGTGCAGCAAAAGCATAAAGTAGAGGGTTAATACAGCTACTGATGAATACAAGTGCTCCGGAGATGTACGCTCCTCGGTCTACAATCTCAGGACCAACTGAAATAATATCTAGGAAGTTAAAGAGATGATGTGGGAACCAGCATAAAATGAATGCCACCACAACGCTGGCAATGAGCCGTTCCGATCGCCGCTTAGATTGGTAAGTCATTCCACTTATTCTTCTTGCAACACATATGTAGCAAGTGCAAATAATTAAAAAAGGGATTACAAAACCTGCAAGAGTCTCCAGCAAAAGGTATGACGTTTTCTGTCTATCTGAAGAGTAGTTGCGACATGTGCATTGCAGTCCACCGTCCGTTTCTTCTGTCTCTTGAAATGGAATGACAGAAATGCCAAAAGCAATAGACAGGAACCAAATGAGGAACATGATCAGAGAAATCTTCTCTTTTGTTTTGCATCTTTGAATTGTGAAAGGGTAAAACACAGCCATTAACCGTTCCAAACTCAGTGCTGTAACTAGAAATATACTGGCGTACATGCTGCAGTAAATAACAAAAACCAGTATCTTGCAGAAGATGACTCCAAAAATCCATGAGTCAGCAAAGGAGTAAATCCAGATTGGTAAAGTAATCAGTACAAGCACATCTGCAATAGCCAGGTTCAAGATCAGCAGGACTGAAGGAGATACCTGCTTCATTTTTGTACAAACAGTCCAGATGACAATGCAATTTCCAGGGATCCCAATAATAAATGACAAGCTCAGTATTATGCAGACTACTGACCTCACAATATTCCATGTTGAGTAGCTACTGCTTTCCTCAGCTTGACTCATCCTGGAAGTTCTTCAGTTCTGGGTTGTCAATATCCTTGGTGCTCTGCACTCTGCTTTTGTTCTGAAGGTGTGCATGAACTCCTCAGAAGAAAGTTCTCTTAACTGATATTCTGTAGACTGATATGGCATATGAGCTCATGTCCTAATGCACAGTCTAAGAAACATGACCACATATGGCAGTTCCCGTTCACGAAGACAATGTGAATGTTTGCATGCAAAGCAAAAATGAAAATACAGCACAGCACCTGACTTTCCTTTTAGCTACACATCCACCATATGTCAGCAGATTTTCAAATGTGTCAGTGGTCTTTCAAAAAGTCCCTATTTAAAAAAGCTTGCTACTTTTTTAAAGTTACTGATCTAATCAACAGCTAAGAGGAGAAACAAACCCTCTTTATGCTATTCTCCTCCGAATAACTCAACATTTTATTTTATAACAGTCAAAAAAAGAGAGGCGGCAGATAAACAACAAATGTGCATTACCGTTTGATACGTAATTCCATGCCCAAACACAAAATTGTGCTTACTGTCTTCGTGTCATTTTTTTGTAATTCAGCAGAAAATAGTCAATCATGCTTCAGAAATATGCTGGCATAAAGGAAATCAGTATTTGTCCTACAGGGAGCCTGTACCGGTACAACACAGTGGGTGGACATTGTATTTCTAACACTTGGGGAAATTGCCACAGTCCTTTAGCCAAATAATAACCGTCAGAATTATCTGCGTACAGCGTTGTAGGAGGAAATGCCCTATGTGAGAGAAAAATATTATGACATTGTACTCCTGCTGTGCCAGTGATAGGCTATGACTTTATCTCCTAGCAAATTCGGTAGTTAGTGCAGTACTCAAATCCTGTGTGAATTTTAAGTTCTTCAGTGTCTAGCCAAAGAATAATGAAAATATTTTGTTATCCTGATGTCAAACATCATGTTTCAATGTTTATTTCTAAAAAGTTAAATGAGGAACTAAAACAGCAGCAACAACAGAAATGTTCAAGAGTCACAGAAGTGAAACTGGAAGGGTATTTTCTATAAGAAAGATGCATAGGAAAAAAAAAGTTATGTGTAGCTTTCTCTTAAATCCAAGACAGCGATATAGATTATTGCCTTAAGTGCTGAGGTAGAATTTTACAAACCTAGCAAATGTAGTGCATAATTTTAAGTTGAAAGGTATCTTTCATCATTGAAGAAGGATTGTAACAGCACCACTCCCAAATCAGCTTAGCTGGTTTTGATCTCGTAAGAGTATAATGAGATCAAAAGCAAATCCAAAATAACTCCACTGAAGTCAAGTATTATCTTCAGAACGCTATTTGTGTAATACAGATTTTAATTTGGATTTAATCTGATACACAACTCCAGTTCCTTTTATTTTTAACTACATTTAATACAGACTGGGTATGGGAAAAATCCTAAACCCACTTGTATTCTAAAGGGAAGTACTGGGCAATGTCTCTTCCAATGAAATCACCTTTATATACACACCATTACTTCTCCAGAAGTAACTTTGGAAGGGCTCTTTATTAATTCATTGCCAGTAGCATATTTTTAATTAAAGAAAAAAATTCAAGGAGGGTTGCCCAGTACCTCTCATTCCTCAGTGCTACAGGGACAGACACGTTCTTTAAGATGAAGTCTGAATCTAGATTATAATTATTGTATCACAAACTGATTATTAAGAATTTGACCTGATCTGCAGAGGGCCTACATGACTAAAAGCTTAAGTAACTAAAGACTATATTGATCACTACAAATTCTGCTTGTCTGAAAGCTATGATAATTGCTAAAAATTCTGTGTAAAAGTAAGGTATGCTAACTTCTAGCAATTGTAGATAAGAAGATGCTGATAATCAAAATTGTGATGTCATAATAAGGCTCTAATGTAACTACAACCCTGTAGCCATTCATCATTCTATCAAGGATCCCTACAAGAATCTGTATGCTCCTGTATCGTGTGATGTCTCTGTAAGATTTTCCTCTTTACAGCTTTACTTTTGGTGGCAAAGAGGATTTGTCTGTAAGAGTGAGTTCTAACCCAGTGGTGTATGGATCGGGTTGAACTTCCGAAGCATCTGTTCTTATGTTTCTGAAAAATGTTTCTCCAGTCGAAGTTTGCTTGCCAGATGGCCTCTGCTTCTGGCTGTACAATTCATTTAAATCAGAAAACAAGTGAATCTTGGAATTGCAGCAACAGCCTGGGATTTCTATTTCAAAAAAGATCCCAAACAAGTGTTGAAATGCTAGGACTTCCTTGAGTAGAACTCTGCAGACAGGCTTTTAGACTTAATATCACAGATACTGGAGTTAACATTAGCTAGGGAGCACGTTTCTGAAGAGCTCTATGTGATTGCGCGTTCGCTGTGGAAACTTCAGGCTGTCTGTAAGCTGTCTTTAATATTCTCTAAAAGTGTCTGACTTCTCAAATTTACAGTAGTAGTACACAAACTTTACGGGAAACTTAACAAATATTTCAAATAAGAAGGGGAGAAGTGTAGCATGCACATTAACATGCTAGAGCTAAACATAAGAGTGGCTAAGGAACTTGGTATCTTACTCATTCTAGTTACCAAACGTGGGTGGAGCTGTTAAGGCACGAACATGCAGTTGGACTTCTGACCACATAAGCTCTGGTCTCCTTTTATTAACAGTGAAACTGGGCTGCATCTCTCTGTTTCAAAAAAAGTCTAAATCTGAAGTTTTCTGTATGCACGCATATTCCATGTAGTGCAACAATCAGTCATTAACACGGAAAACTTCTTGTTAAGCCTTTAGATTGGCAAATAACTGCTGAAAACTTGCCAAGCTCAAGAAGTCTACGCTACTTCTAAGAAACATTTTGAAAGGATTTGTTTTGGCTTAACAGTTAGGTGGGTGTTTCATCCTTCAAATTATTTTTCTGCATGCATGAGCTTCCCTCTAGTGGATGGGCTGCAACTTACACTAAGACCAAGCATTAGCAGACAGCTGTTTGGACCACTAAAGGTAAATGATAATTGATATATCCAGATTTTGCATCTTTACTCTGAGAATTGGAATTTCACTTTAAGATGCTCAAAGTCTTTGGGCTAACAGCCTCTGCTGAAAGCAAATCCACTCCTCCATGCAGTAAGAGCAGGACTGTAACAATTTTTGCAGAATCTGTATTGCATAACTTGTATGAATAGCTGTACCAAAAAGACTTTTAAAATCTTGCTTTCTTGATTATGGGAGAGTGCCCTATATAAATGGGATTTCATGTTGGTGTGCAGCAGCTAATAATGTGACTGCTCTGCAACTACTACACAGGAAAGTAGAGTGTAGGGAAAGACATGAAAGAGACATTTTCTAAGCTCTTAAAACACGGTTGGTGGCAGCAGCCCAGGAAGTAGCGAGCACACATAAAAACACTCTCAGTATTTCCTTATCACCAGGGAAAATACTTAGCAAAGAGCTACTCTAGCATCAGTTCCCAAACATAATAAGAGACGTGTACCTCACACTATAAAGTTTGAAATATTCTGTTGTGTGCATTGTTTTCAAGCAGTGTTCTAATAAGATTACAAAATTACATCCCTTACCCAGCTTAGCAGCAAATAAGGATAGTTTTATATGACTGACCAGAGGGAAGATTTCCTGTTTGCTATGTTCAGGGGAAACTGCTTTAGAAGCTGTGACACGAGTGCTTACAAGGCACCTGCCATACGTGCATCAATACATGCTTACACATTGGTACCTTTCTTACCCTAACAGAACGATCACAATCAGAACGTGTTTCCAGCAGTTGTGTAGCTATTTGAGTATATGGTGAAATAATTTCTATGTACAGACATACGAAGTTCATGAGAGTAGAGATGTTAATTAATATAGTCAGAATTCTAAATATAGTTCTCCAATATAAGCAGGACTATGAATAAAAATTATGCGGAGATTATGGAAAAACTTGAAATGTATTTTCTCAACATTGTTATGAACTTACATAGTTTTAATTCATAGTCCAAGCTTTCAAACAGTAAATGTACAGATCTGTAACAATTTAAGGTGAGTCTTTGGCCTCTTCTAAATGAGAAATTGCTAAGTTGCCATTTGCATGCACACAAACTATCGTTAGCCAAACCCTTTATCTACACAAGCATATCTGGCACCACAATTGCTACTGGGTACATCTAATACATTGTTTACATACCCTTCCTTTTGAATAGTAAATCACTAATTTTTATGCCAAATATTATTTCAATTTTTTTCTTCATTGTTTAGCTAAACCTACTACCACTCTTACCTTGTTTGCTGAGATTGCAAGTAAATATTATATTAGTACAGGATCAATGTCTCGTTATTGTTCAGCAGTATAATGAAAGGCAGTCTTTAGCAGTGCATCTCTTAGTGACTTGGGATGAAAAAAACCCAAACCCATACTTTGCTGTGCATGAGCTGCAGTAACATATGGTAGCTGTTGTTTAAAATGTAATCCAGGCATATACTATTTCCTATATCATTCTCTTACGTAAAAGGATCTGTCCAGGTAGTTACGTATTTTCAACACAGGGTGGCACTGGGGAACAACCTACTGTGTTTTGGGGCTTTTTTGGCTAAGACTCCAGGCCACGGAGGTGTAGCCTTTCTCTGCACGTGGTGCATGCTGTTTAAGGCTGAGACCCACAGAACTAATTCTTCCGCATAAGAACATTAGTTGATCGTGACTTAAATTTCAATATTGTTTCTAATTTATTGATAACTTTGTAGACAAAAACAACGAATTTTTTTTGGCTTGCACAACCTGTTGTTTCCTAAATATATTTCTAGCTCTCAGTTCTGTTTCAATATATGTGAATTTTTTGTATGTGTCCATTTCCAATGTTAAATACTGCTATAACTAATACAATAAGAGCAGCTCTCTCTGCAACAAAATTAACTTAGAGTAATTTAATTTTCTATGCCTCTGAAGCAGCAAAGCTTGTGAAGCTTGGCAACAATTCTACGATATTAATAACTGTTCCTTCATCGTAGTTTCTATTAGTATGTTCT